ACACCACTCGGGGAGCGTCCAACGCTGATATATGCGGGTTGTTTGTTTCTGTTTCTCACCTTCATGCCCCCCGGTTTACTCTTTATGTTCTCCCCAAATGTTTTCCCCACTCTCCTTGGGGGGGGGGGGGGGGGGGGTGAAGGGAGCGTGTCTTTCACCGGGTTTTCTAGTCCGCGAAAATATACACCGAACACACGAAAATCAGGGAAAACCACATTCGTGTGCATTTGAAATTGCATGGTGCTCATCACCAAAGCCAATCCTTACGGGTTCAACATTCTGTGGACCCATTCTAGTCGTGGTCTCGTGCGTGGTGTTTCTACGTTCGAACGTCTTTCACCTCTCCCACAACACACAAGATGCCCACCAAGCTATCTGTTACTCACAGCGGTTGCGACACTCACATCATGTGAAGATCAGTGGCAGCGGTACTACGCCTAAACAACAATACAGCTACATGCACACGTGGTAACCTGATGTTTTCTGGGCATTAGACAAAAGCGAGTATACTCACCCCCTTTCCAGAAAAGGGGGTCCAAGAAAAACCGCCTCGCCGCGACCACCGATGAGCGAGAAAACCACTCCAAATGTAATTCTGACGTCTGGACGGCATGGTCAAGGTCCACGCACGGCACAAACATAGATGTTTTCGAAAGTTGTTGTATGTTTCTAGGTGCATGACCACGCCGGTGCTCAAGGCCACAAAAGGCTGCCCTGTTTCGCCCGAAATTCCTGGTACTTAAATGCCCACTGAAATCTACTGGTACCTTTTTTTCAACCACCCATACTGCTTATTGGTAGACTGGATTTTTTTCGAACCAAAACCCACTTTATTCCACATAGGGTTCGAAAATCAACCTCCTAGTCACCGCACGGCTGCACATCGAACACTCTCGGCAGTGGACGAAAGTAGCTCAAAATTAGGCAAAAAGCGGGGGATTGAAAAAAAGTACAATGTCGATAGGTTTCAGTGGGCATACAAGTACCAGGAATTTCGGGCGAAACAGGGCAGCCTTTTGCGGCCTTCAGCGCCGGCGTGGTCATGCACCTAGAAACATACAACAACTCGTAAACATCCATGTTTGTGCCGTGCGTGGGCCCTGACCATGCCGTCCAGGCATCAGAATTACATTTGAAGTGGTTTTCTCGCTCGTCAGTGGTAGCGGCAAGACGGTTCTTCTAGGACCCCCGTTTGTCTTGAAAGGGGGTGAGTATACTCGCTTTTGTCTAATTCCCAGAAAACATCAGGTTACCTCGTGTGCATGCAGCTGCACTGCTGTTTAGGCGTAGAATGGATCAGCCGATAAGCAAAGATGGTTCATGCATCTTAGAGATTTTTTCATTTCCCATGTACTGCTGTTGACGAACCAATCATGAGTTTATGGGCAAAAATGGGTGCTGCACCTGACATGAGATATCACGCCCCTTAAACCGACAGCTAAAGCTCGGTTAATCCATGTAGAAACAGCACTGGCGGTGCCGAAATCGACCACACTTCAAAAGAACGATCGGTATCGCCGAGAGATGTCCGAAAACATTTCGTTTTCTTTAAACGCCCTCTTTCGTCGCGGATTATTGGGGCTTTGGAAACCGGTTCTAGGGGGTGTGATATCTAATTTCAGCTGCAGCAGTACCCACTTGTTCACGTACTTCCCATGATTACTTTGTCCACAACACCTATGATAAACGACAACTACACTACAGACGCATGAACTATATTTGCAGTTCGGCTGATTCCTGTAGAATGAAGATTGCTCCCCGGTCGGTGACAGTCTATTGTATGTACATTAGTCCAAGTCTACACAAAACGGTCACGCTGTAGACTAAGCAAAGCAGAGAGGCTGACATATTTTACAACATAGTCTCAGGCTGTCCCACAATCGAAAACAATGATGGTTTCGGCCTCCTTCTGCTGTAGGTTTGCCATTTCCTACCGTTCTCTCAGTGCCCGGCCGTTCCTTTCCGTTGTCAGAAACATGTTCTCCAACTTAGCACACTATATCGACACAGAAAGTACCGTATATGGAGTATGACACAAGATAACACACCCCCTTGACCGACTTTCAAAGCTCGATTACCCCACGACGAAGAGGATACATAGACGAAAGGATACGTACTCAGAGAGCTCATGACCAGACGGGCTTCAACGTCGTTTTCGGCCCTGCGACTGTTGCTGCTATTGAAAAATCGAGCTTTGAAAATCGGTCCAGGGGGTATGTTATCTTGTATCATATACGGGCAGTGCCTAGTGAACAAGCGGTGAAACGACATCGAAAGAGGAGAAATAAAGCTCACATCCACACGTACAGGTCATCGAACAAACTCACGTGTGCAAACGTCTGAGACTGATTGAGATGCATGAGTGCATGAGTGCATGAGGGGAGGCACGACATGTGTACAGCAGTAGATCATGCCGTTCGGCATGTGTGTGTAGAAAAATGCCGTTGGCGCTTACTTGGAGGTGTGGAGGATTGGCCATGCTCGAACGAGACTTCCACAGAGAGGCCACACCTCAGTCCCAATGCAGGTACACCACGCCATCCTCGCCGACACTCTCGGCTCGCTGTGCTCCCTACCCTCCTCTCCCGCTGCTCTGTGCTGTGTGCACTCTGTCGATCGATGCGCTGCGCTGGTGCGCTGCGCGGTCGCCTGCGCGGTGCTTGACTGGGGCAGCACAACTGCTATCCACCGCGGGGGATGCTTTTCCTGTCCATCCTCCCCCTGGTGGCAAGCTTTTTGTGTGGGGCATCCATTTTGGCCCGGCCTTCTAAGTCGCGCGCAGCGCCGACTTAGTCGGACTGTTAAGACGAGCGAAGCGAGTACTTAGCCCGCCGCAGGCGAAAAAATTTTCGGTTCGTCTTAGTGCATCTTACACGTCTAAACGCATCTCTGGTTCGTCTTAGCACGTCTTGTATTCGTCTTAGCACGTCTTGTATTCGTCTTAGCACGTCTTGTATTCGTCTTGGGACGTCTTGTGTTCGCTTAAGCGCGTCTAAAATACGTCTAAGCGCGTCTAAAATACGTCTTTGCGCGTCGAAACTGCGTCTTAGCGCGGCTTAAATGCATCTCAGTTCGACAGAACAAGGCCACAAGGTCCTACAAAGCACAAAGCGGTGTTGTTGTGCTTGATGCCGACCAAATCGGTTTTGCGCCCCATTCCATGCACCACCTAGAGCGCGCCACTGCACGTTGCAATGGCTTGGTTGGTATATCATCAGGGGGTAATCGAAGAAATTTGAAGCAGGTGAGACTCCTAGAGACCCTCTTGTTATCTTGGTATATATACCCTTGGTACGACACTACTGTACCAAAAACGATCCAGGTTTTACGTTTATTTTTGCTCATTTCTATCTTGAGTCAACAGAGTAGTAGACGCGTTCGTTGGTTCACAGAGCCGTTGCAAGATATCTACTTTCTACTGTAACGTGGGTACCCGGGGGTGCCAGCAAGGCGCACGCATGCCATTTGCCATTTGCAACGCAAGCAAGAAAAACATCAATAATATGGTACTCTGGTTGAGCCCCTTCGCTGCAAATCTGCAACCAATTTTAAAACTAATTGCTACGTCAAACGCACGATCTCCAAGAGAACACCACACACCACACCCAACAGTAAGAGCGCGATGTTTCGTCCGACTACCATCAAGGAAAAATGCGTCATGTCCAAGGCCTGTGACGGTCGGTGTGACGTCAAACAACTACACACACGACTTGTTGTGTGTTTCTTTTAGTCCTGTCCGCTCCCGGTGTCTTCCTCGTCCTCGTCCTCGTCGCCCTCATCCTCGTCGTCCTCGTCCTCCAAGGCTGCAGCTTGGGCAGGCCCTCCCTCGTGTTCTTCCTCGTCGTCCAAGGCTGCAGCTTGGGCAGCCGACCCCTTGGTGCGGTCAGTCTCGTTGAACCGCACCATGACCGTCGTCTCCACGAGGTCGTTCAGACAAGATAGCTGCTGCTTTCCGAACACGTTGTTGAGGACGGAGAAAACACGTTCCATCATAGCTGACGAAGGCTGCACCAACCACAGCTAGCTTCTCCACGACAGCGTACCACGCGGGAAGAGTTGACGCGTTGTCCACCCAGAAACTCCGCACCGGGTACGTCGACCTCACGCGGGTGACGGCGTTCATGTACTCGGGCATCTCCGCGCGGAGGTTGGTGATGTCGCCCGAACTGATGAAAGGAAAGATGCTCAACACTTCGGGGTCGATGTCGTCGAGAGGTTGCTGGCGGACGTGCACGTGGTTGATGATCCGCGCGGCCTTGAAGAGGTCAAGCTCGCGGCGGAACTTGACCTCCATGCCGTCGCCGAACTGGCTGCTTGAGTAGCTGCGGATGTCCTTGAGGCAGCCCGTGACGTGTGAGCGCAAAGAGGCTAACGTGGCCTCATCCGGTGTGCCCTCGTGGTTTCCTCGGAGCAGAGCTTCGACGTTGGGGAGGGACACGTAGGCGTTCAGGTCGTCCAGCCGCAGGGTTGTCACCACTTTCTGGATGATGTCGTACGCCTGTCGACAAACAACAATGTGCGACAAGGAATTGCAAGCGTTGGCTGTGAGATGTTGTGTGCCAAACAAGGAAGCAGGTGCATGCCGTTGCCCGCATGCAATTGTCAAGAACCTTTTTCGAATTGGGCACAGCCAGCGAAGACATGGTGGCAGCACCGTTGCCTGCGCTTACGTTGAACTGTCTCACAACGATGTCGAGGTCTCTCTGCATGTTGAAGTACACCTCGGAAACACAAGAAAATCTAAATGGTGAGCATCAACAGCACCAAGATACACGCCCAAGTTCCATAACCACACAATCGTGTTCCTCACCTTGAACACCAGGGCATCGTCCCCCTCCAATGCCAAGCATGCTGTCTTGAACGTCAACAAGACGTCCCTGTACATGGCAAGCTCCAGGAGCAGAAACCTGCGCTCGTGGACGTTGTCCAGGTATTTGTCCTGCCGCGTGAAACCGAGAAGCAACGGTGTTTAGCACCGCATTTCAAAAGGGAGCACATTGAGTGTTGACGCTGAACGTCAAGCACACAGGAGAGGCAAGGCAAGATATTATGGCAGACAAAACTCTGGCGTAGTCGAAGGTTCCAATCAGCATACTCCATAAGCGCTGTACCTGCAGCGCCTGGCATGTCTTGTTGCGCCTCCCGTCGGAGTTGCGGAAGGTGCGGATGAAGTCCTCGATGGCCGGCAGCTGGGTGCTCAGGAACTCGAACACCTCAGCCTTGGAACCCCACCGGTGGTTGACAAACCTCGGCCACGTCTTCCCTGCCCTGTTCACGAGCTCGCGCTTCGCGTGGAAGCTGTAGCTGAACACGCTGCTGGTCTTGAGCATAAAATCACTGGCCCTTGGCGCATCGATCTGCTTCCCTGCCAAAATGAAAGAGACACGATGAAGAAAATATGGAGACAACCGAATTAAATGGCGGTTATGTTCATGTTTAGAATTGTCAGCGATTCAGAAACTCTCTTGTGTTCTGTAAACGGTAGGAGACAATGTGCACGATCACAGCTTGCAGTACAAGAGGTTGTGCTATCTCGAGAAGGCAGATAACGAGGTAAGACCACACGTCCCAACCGATGGAAAAGAGAGAAATATTTGCTGACGGCTGCTCTAGCAACAGGAAGCAAGAGCTCCATGGCCCACAACCCGCGCAACACAAACGGGGCCCGCGACTATCTGCGAACGGAAACACAAACTTACCCGAGTTGTCCATGAGGTGGCTGCAGCATGCGATGTAGACGGCCTGCGAGAAGAAGCCGGGCAACACGTCCCTCATAGCCTTGCGGTTGGCGGCGCAGCCATCGAACTGAAAACTCTTCACGAGGTTCTGTTTGGGCGCAAACAGGGGAGGAGGGGCCGGGAGGGAGAACGAGTTCGCATTCGCGCATTAGTATGAGTGCGGTGGGCGAACACCATTCACGATTTCGAAACCAACAAGGGGGCGAGGGTATCAGTCACCACCCGAAGCGTTGCCAACACACGCTTTCATCTCCCCACTCAAACAACATGCATAACTTTGACGGCTGCCCAATGAACTTACCCGATCGGAGATATCCAGCCTGTCTCTGACGACGTCGATCACCTCAGCGGCAATGTTGCGGTTGTTCATGGCGCTCTCCAGCATGCGAAGGGAGACGAGGCGCTTTATGACTGCGAGGTCTTTTCCCACGGCGCGAACAACCACGCCGAACGTCTCCTGGAAAAGGGGACGAGGTTCGACGCCGAAGAGTGATGCAAGAAACGTAGTGTTGAGGGTGTATAGGCTTGCATACAGCTCAGTCTTGCTCACGGTCAACAGCGAGTAAGAAATCCCGCAAACATCAGATGCCACAAGGAATTAAATAAAGCGAATGATCCGAAAAGCACAATGGAAATCGACGGAGGGGGTGCGCAAAAGACAACCGAACGACCAAGAGGCACAACGAGTGTAGCAGCGCAAAAAAAATAGTCTCACGACGGAAGTGCACAGATTCGTAGCATGCGGCAAGTGGACCTCCCTTACCGTGCCGTTGAAAGGCGTCCCATCGATGGCAATACCGATGTCCTTGCCAAGGATGTCCTGACGAATGGAGCGAATCTGCTCCTCGTTGATGAAGCCGATGTACTCCTTCGACTTCGATGACCCCACCATGTCTGCTCCGAGGCTGGTGAACATGCTCCGGAGAGGGTCAAGCTTGGAGAGTGATATTCCGGCACCCATGACTTGAGTGATTAGCTGGAATATAACAGAAGCACAGGTGGGGGGTGAGGCACATGGGAGGTGAGGCGGCCGAGCAAGCACCAGATCCAGAAGCGGAACTATTACGGTAGAACCAGAGCAAAACAATAGGGGACAGCAGGTGCCTACTTCAAACCAATCTTCTTATTGAAAAAACAACCCGAGCGAAGGAGAATTCAGGAATCATCATCACATTACGTAACCGTGTGCCCGGCCAAAGAGTAACCCCCTTATCTGCTGCTGGCTCGACTTGTATGGAAAATTCACACAGCCGTATGCAAACGACTTGAAGGGAAATACTGCAGCAAGTCCACTCTACTACTCTGCTGCTGCTGTTGGCGTACGCACAATAATGGCTGACCAATGAAGAAATTTGGTCGTTGTTCACTTATATAGGATAACATGGTCTAAACAAGGTTAGTCGCGAAGTACATCAAGATATGCAGAGCAAAATTCACCTCGTTCTGTGCTGTTCCAAAATAAAGAGAATGTCGACGATTGAAAAAAAATATTCTGATCACCTTGCAGCGCTTGTCGTTGACCTCGGGATCGACGGTCTTCCCGTATACGGCCCGCCTCTTGTTGCAGTACTGCGTGAAGCGAGTCTTCCTGTTAGGCGCCTCGAACTCTGCGGCCAAGTGCACCTCCAGCTTCTGCATGTGCTGGTTGGGTTCCGCCTTGTGACTACCGTCCTTCAGGAGTCCACAATGGGCCCTGATCGTGGAGAGGCAAGTCCCCAGGCGCTTGGCGCACGGTTCGCAATAGAGGGCGCCCGCGGAAACGACGAGGCCCTCACCCGGAAAAGTCCTGCAGCGTGAGCTTGCCGAAATAGTTTTCGGGTTGGAGGACGAAAGTCCGTTCACCCCTCGAGATCGCTTGCCTGTGCTGTTGTCACTTGCTCCCGTGGCCGGAGCCGCAGCAACACTCCTCCGCTGGCGACCGGCGGCAGCGGCTGCAGGCTTGTTCGCCAAGACGAAGATGTGCGCAGCCTCATTACTCCCTGGAACATATGGCTGCACAAACTTGTCCATCGCTCCAGATGTTGGTGCTTGTGTGCCTCCCGGAGGCACTGGGTGAGCAGCAGCACCAGCAGCTCCAGCAGCAGCCTCCTCTGCAGCAGGAGCAACGACTGGAGATGTGCTGGTCCCGACCAAGGACACGGGGGTGGAGGCCGTTTTGAGGCCGTTCCGACGGACGCGTTGTGTGTCGTGGTAGTAAGCGACACCGCCGCCATTGGCGTTGTAGCCGATGCTGGTGGGGTCAAAGACATAACGGGGCTCGGGACTCGGGACTCGGGGGGCCGTAAAGTAGGTGTGGAGTGTGGAGTGTGGAGTGTGTGAGGCGGCGTTGGCGTGAGGCGTGAGTCAAGGCGTGAGGGCCTTGGCCGGAGCGCGGAACATTTTCGGCGGGCAAATTTTTCAAAATTTGAGTGCAAACATGCAAACATCCTTCCTTCCATTTTGGTAGGAGGTACTTCTACGGAGAACGGAGGGGAGAGAGGGTTGGAGAGAGAAGAGATGGAGGGCGGAAGGCGGAAGAGAGCGAGCTACTCCTTCCCTGCGTCTAACGTCCTGTTAAGTCGTCGAGACAGCTCCTTAACAGTAACCCAGTCGCATCCCCCATTGCGTTAGACGACTGTACGACGTGCCTAGTCGCCATATTGGGGGATAGACGTGCCTCTCCCGTGGAAACGGAGTTAGACGTTTTCTAAGACGCGACTTAGAAGGCCGGGCCAAGGATCTTTGGATCTTTGGTTGATGAGGTTTGGCTTGCGCAAGTGTTGCAGGCAAGATTGTGAACACTTCCCACAATCCCAGTTGGTGGATGGCGTTGCTGGCCGTCAAGTCGAGGTTGCATGGAATTTTATGACCCCGTTCGCAAGGTTCTAGGTTGCCGCCGCACCACAAACCCTTACAACGTGTACCAGTGGCCACCCGTGCAGTGATATCATACGTAACGTACGCTTATCCGTTTCCCCCGACTTCTCTGGTTGGTTGCCGCGACGTGCCGCTCGCTCTCGTCGCAGAGCTTCCGAAGCAAGAGACTGGATGACGGCGAGACGAAGTGCATCAACGTATGCGCGGAGAAATACATCAAGCTCACGAGTAGGGTAGCGCTACGACTCCAGGACATGCAGCAGCAGAAAGCCAAGGACGAGGCTGCGGGGGTACAACGCTGAACCTACCCTCCAGTATGCCTGTGACGTGTATTGGTACTTAGAGCTACCCTGGGGCGGTTGGTTTGTATCATACATTTGCATATGCATAGCACCCTTGTGTGTCCCGTCCTAGGATACATGCGCATGGCACTTGCGTATCTCTGTCGTTCAAGTCCGACAATGTGTGCTTCGAGGGATGCTATATCGCAGCGGTTTGAAATGTCAGGTGTGCCTAGCCAAAGTACATATTTCGAATCAGTGTTTGAATCGGAAGGGCTGGTTGCAGTCCTCCCCCTCCCCGTTCCTGTAATTTATTCTCTCGAACAATTTTGCTTTGTGCCGCAGCTCCCACGGCTGCTCTGCTCATGTTGCGAACACCTGATCGAGTCGTCGTGTGATACACGAAATTGCGGCGTGTTTACCGAATTTGGTTCCCCTTCGGGCCCCTGGTCTGTTCCCGGAAAATCGCCTTGTGTGGCCTCCGCGTTCCGGTGATTCTCTAGGCACAATCAAGCCCATCTACTCTCAATGCATTCCAACGTCCAACCCTGAAGCGTGTGAAACTTGATGTTTTGTGTTCGAGTTTGTGAGTAGGTTTGAGTGGTTAAAAGAAAAATATAACGATTTCTCGAACATTTTTTGGCGGGAAATTGCACGAAGAGGGCGCACACCCGCAAAGTCTGTTTTGCGTTCGCCAATATGCCGTGGCGGGCGTCCGAGAAACGCACGGCAGTGTCACAATTAGAAGGGCACGCAACTCGGAAACATGCACGTGCGTAGTGGCTGGACACCTTGTTGCGGCCGTACAAAGGGCCTGTCATGTCGGACGATTGATAGGTCATCGCTGAACATGCAATTGGATCGAAAGTGTCGATATCTTTCGTGTTATACAGAGCACGGCCTCAACGTGGTTGCAGCGAATGCCGGCAGCTCGGATATCCCCGAATGATTGCCCCCCGCCAGTAAATTGTTGGCTTCTTGCTTTGGCATGCTTATACTCGCGAGGCCTGTGAACGAACCGTGTTGCATTTGGAAGGTACACCCTCTCGTGCATTTCTCGAAACTCTGTTGTCATCTGGCTACTTCTCGTCATGTGGCGCCTCGTCCCCTCTCAGATTCTTCGATTCGTTTAATAGCAGCACCTTGAGCACCCCTCTCTACCTTGAAAACAGTAGTCTATATAGAGCAGCGGCTTCCCGTCGGACATCACCTACTACTTCTGCGCGTTTGTCAAGGATGAAGGGCAAGCCTCCTACTCCTGCGATGTCAAGGGCGATGGCACGCGCACCTTGGGGCTAACAACTCAAGAGACACATCCGATTATATATCCGAATCCTATGAAAGTGAGCCGAGATGATCAACTGACGAACCCTTGACCGGTTCCGCCCAAGCCACAAACCACCCAGGTAGCGTGGTTCCTCGCGCAGTCTCATGACTACCCCCCCTACACACACACAACATTGCGCTCGGAGGTGCAATACAGCAAACAAACGCCCTAGCTACTCATGGCTGTTTCACACCGTCAGGCCCACGTAAAAGGGCTGCTGTCTGCAGTTACCGTTTTGAGTTTCCCCTCCCGTGGAGGTACAACACTCTCAAACAATCTGTATGCGATTCCCACACTTCAACAATTAAGGGAGACTGTGTAAAGGTCGAAGTAAAGTTCGCGCTCTTCTCTAAAGGGAGACCACACGGATGTCCACAATACCCCCCCCCCGTCCCGCCGCCCATCGTTGCCACCCAAAGGTATATGACCTTTTTTTCCATATACCTTTGTTGCCAACCGAAGAGGTAACAGCCACCCGCGGACCCCCTTCATAAAGCACCCCCCCTTCAAGAGTTCGCTTTTCAAGCGTCCACGAAAGGTTATCCTCTGCCTCTGCACGTGCTAGCAGGATACTCAGCTCACAGCCCGACTGGCAGAAGGGCAGGAGGTTCCCGGAACAAATACAACCAGTCCTGACTCGTCATTGGTCAACGGAGCAAAAAAATATTTCGCCTGCTGCAAAACACGCATTGCCTGGTAAATACTGCACTTTTAAGCGTCCATGAACGGGTAGTCGGTGTAGCCCTTCCCGGTGCCCCCGAAGAAGGTAGTGTGGTCCCACTCGTTCAGGGGGGCCTTCTTGGCAACCCTGAACACGCAATCAATGTGGAGTCACAAGCAAGTCACATGCAGGCGCGATAACGTGCGAAGCGTGAGGCACGAAAAGCAGGTGGTGCGTGTCGTGTCACGAAGATTGACGGAGATGACAGTTCCAAAAAAGTGACAGACCAAACTGCTGGCCAAAACGGGGCGCCGGGTGAAATGGATGGGCGTGGGCAACACATGTCGAAGAGGTTTTATTCTGGCCAAGGTGCGTAAACGGCTTGTGCGCGCATATGCAGCTAACGCCAACGACAGGATTTTTAGAACTGGCTAGAGTGATGCTGAGGGCAGCTAGCTGTACCCTTTTGCCCAATTGCCACGATCAGAGTGCGCACCAATGAAACTTAAGACCGCCAAACGGACTGTGGTCATCGTTGTCGAGAAAAATACCGCACCAGGATACGCTCGCGCGAAGGCTTTTTACTGGCGTTAGATCGTGGTATTGAGCATGTGAAATACCCACAGCTTGACACAGAGACGACAGGGGGGCATCGATCATCTATGAACGTTGACGAGGAAATTTTCATCAAGCAAACACAAGATCTAGGGGGGCATCGACTATTTACGAACATCGGCCCCCTGCAAAAGCTGATCATGCAAACAATGACCGCAAGTATATACCTGACGGGCAGGTCAGGGTTATTTACGAACAAGGCCTCCTGCAAAAGCTGATCATGCAAACAATGATCGCAAGTATGTTGTACCTGACGGGCAGGTCAGGGTTGGCGAGGAACGCCCTCCCGAAGGCGACGGCGTCGTAGCTCTCGCCGAGGTCGCCCTCCCCGAAGTCATCCTTCTCGTCGTACCGGTTGTTCGAGATGAGGACGCCGTCGAAGGCCTTGCGGATCGTCTCGATGGGGACGACCTTGCCCCCGTGGCGCACGTCCTGGTCGTCCGCGAGCTTGACGTGCAGGTACAGGAGGCCCATGCCGCTGAGCTGCCGGCAGAAGTACTCGTGGTTGCCCGTGGCCTCCTCGGCCTCGTCCTTGGTCGCGTTGAAGGTGCCCCCCGGGGTGAGACGAACGGCGACCTGTTTTGGGCCCGAAAAGACGATGAGACACAACACAACACAAGACATGCTCGAGTCCAACGCAAAACACTATCGGGAGGCCTCTTGTGTTTTGCTTTCCAGCCAAAGACTCGGAGGTTTGGTCGGCAGGAAGCCCGTCTTGGAGCGGACCGAGGAGGTGCCGTGTCACCATATAAAGTCCAAGCGTAAGTAAGTGCCTAGCCACAGAATTTGAACTTGTGAAGCCCGCACCAGTAGCTTCCACCTTCCACCGGCTCTGGTCCTGACCTCGGCTAAAGCGAATTAGTCTCGGTTGCGCTGAGTGATGCCGCGATACTGAAAGCTAATTGACGCGAAACGTTGGGAGCAAACCAGCACGTACGTCATCGTTGATCGCTATAGCCGGCTAAAGAGACTCAACCCGTACACAAATCGACAACAGCTCGCGGGATGCTGATCGCCCGCATAGTGGGTTTCGCCGGCTCTGAACATACGCCACCCACCTTGTCCTTGCCGACGGCCTCTTGGCAAGCCGTCAAGATCTCCTTGAGCAGCCTGAAGCGGTTCTCCAGCGAGCCGCCGTAGTCGTCGGTACGCTTGTTGGAGCTGTCCTTGAGGAACTGGTCGATCAGGTACCCGTTTGCGGCGTGGATCTGGCAATTCATCCCATGTCGTAAGCAGGAGGAAAACAGTGGTTAGGACATCAGCAGTCGCTCGAAATCATGGGGTTATTGGGAGGTAGGTCTCCGAAAGAAGCTACAGCAGCAGACAGGTATGACATCAAGCGGCCCGTCAAGACCTGGGCCGATACACGGCGTTCTACAATAATTCACCGTTCAGGGATACGCTTCCCGCAATATTATGCTTCCGATATCGACACCACAGGCAACAGATTTCGGTGCGAATTCAAAGAGGCTAGTTTCTGGCCGGTTCTCAAAGACAAAGAAGAACAGCCGGCCGGTTATTGGTTGATAGGTGTCGGAATATTGCGCTTCCGATTCATGCGCTTCTTAGGCTCTTATCGAATGCAGCAGCACACCCACTAGTTATCTTTCTCTCTCTCTCTCTCTCTCTCTCTCTCCCTCTCTCTCTCTCTCTCTCTCTCTCTCAGCTAGACGCTGTTCACACACCGGCCAGCCAAACAACAAACGTGCATTCGACGAAAGAGAGAAAGAAGGCTGAACTCAAGACCTAGTACCGTTAACGAGTTAACAGACATGCGGGAGGCAAGGCAATCCCTAGGCGGCATGTCCATCATACATTTACCATCCACGTAACGCTCGGGGGCCCCGAAGATTAGTACTCTGCCGAGCACCCCAAACAGTCCTAAAGCACCTACCTCCACCCCGTCGAAGCCAGCCTCCATAACGTTCAGTGCGCCCTGGCGGAACTGCTCGACGCAAGCCTTGATGTCTTCGATGGTCATCTCGCGCGGCACCGGAAACGGCTGCCCATCACAGAAGGGGATCGAAGGAAACACGTGTCGAAACGCTGTACGAATGAACGATTCAAGGGTGCGTTCCTGCCCGTGGTCTAATCTACAGCTCTTTCACTTGTGTCGCGGACGGTCCCTGAAGTTTCGTCATCGAGTCGACCTAACCGTCGCAAGCAGGTGCCTCCACCAGCAGGGTGTCTTGTTGGTACTCGGCACACGGGCATCTTGTGCGGGCAACCGTGTACAGCCACATAATGTTCCTCGAAGCGCTTGTAATAACACCACAACAACAAAAGAGTGCGTCATAGCAGCCAAGCGCCCTCCCGATCCCGGAAACTTCCCTTCGACGAGACACCAAAGGCTTGGAAGAATCCCTGCCTCACCCACCTTGGGTCCCTCCATGGTGATGCACTCCCCTGCGGGGCATGCCAGGGCCGATGGTGCGAGCGGTGCGCGCCGCTCCGGCTGATAGCTCTCGTGGCTGATCCTGCCACAGTGCCAGATCTGGCAGACCATCTTGGCACCCTGGGCGAGCCCGTGTGTGGGGGTTTTGGCGACAAGGCGTTACAGCACTGATATTGGTCGTATTCGTTGCTGCCGTGTTAAAAAAGCGAATTGCAGAAACTGTTTAGTAGGGTTAGGTGCCAAATGGGAACGTTCTTACAAATGATGGCTGCGGTACCCCAGGCATACTAAGTGTTGTAGGGCGCGACGCAAAATGGGCACGTTCTAGAAACGGTGGCGACGGCGGCACCCCTTGCTGCGCAGCGAAACGAGCTGATCCTAAGCTATTGTAGCTCTACAAGGACGGAGGGCCAGGCACACCGCAGGTCCGCATCGGAGACACCCGACAGTTCACGTGTCACTATGCGCAACAGGGTTTACACACGATGCCGGGACCAACCTTAGCGTGGACGGCAGCGGTGATCTTCTTCCACCCGGCAATCTGTTCCGGGGTGTAGATACCGGGGGTCAAAGGGTAACCCTGCCCGTCGTTGCCGACCTGAGTCGCCTCCGCGATGATCATGCCTGTTTCGTTCGTTCGGGATACAAAGCGTGAATGCAAAAGCAAGTGCGCAGGGGTAGGGGTGGGTTGGGGGGAGGGGCCTGGTGTAACGGGCGCGCACTTAGAAAAGCGTCAAGGCAAGGTCGAGGTTCAGTTTCTTATTTAATCACGTCGCCACCGCCGTGGAGCACTGGTTGTTGTATATCGGAGTATGGGGTAGGGTCCGCCTGAGTCGTGCTTCTTCACCCCATTTTGTTGTTTTTCGTAAACATTTTAAAGCCATTTCAGAAATATCTCATGATTGCGGGCCCGTGTTTGTAGCGCGTACGACGAGGGAAGAAAGCCAACGAGAAGTGCTGTTTGACTAGTCCCCCCCCCCCCCATCACTGCACGGTCGGCAAGAGACGCAAGGAAGCTGACATGGCAGTATCGCATGTGCGGGATGGGAGAGGAGAGGTTGCCGAGAATAGTATGGGAGGCGAAGTGGGCAAACAAAAAGAGGGGTAGACAACCCACGGAATGGGTCAAGGTTGTAGAGGACGTATGGAAGGGGTTAGCCATCGACGAAGATGAAACGCTGGAAACGGAGGGTCTACAGGGGTTCAAGGAGAATATATCTGTTGCTTGGGCCGAGAGAGAAGAACATGATCTAAGGAAAGAAACCAAGGATAAGGAGGGTTTAGAAGTGTACGGAATGTTGAAAGAAGGAATAGGGTTCAAGGATTACCTACATAGACCAATGGATGCAGGGACAAAGTTAAAGGTCAAATTCAGGACCGGG